AATTTCTAAGAGTCTTGTTGCCCTGTAAAGCAAGCGAACATGTTTCTCTAAAGAATCGCTGTCCTCTGATAGGCACTAGCTGCAAAAGGCAGCAAAGGACCTCGCCTAAGAGACTCTTCAGTCTTAGTCGCTCAGTTTACAGGTGAGTAAACTGAGGCTCAGAGAAGGAAAAGAACTTGAGTTGGTACTTGGACTAGGATTCCGAATCCACACACTGTGTGACTCAGGATGAAGCCTCTTCTCTACATCCTTCACACGAACTTGCTTCATTCTCATGCCAACGTGTGAGTTACAGGGAAACTAGTCCCCTATCTTACCACTGGGGAAACTGAGGCTCATAGAGGGCAAGTGTCTTGCACACTACCACTCAGCCAAAGATAGTTGGTGACACAGCCAGAACTGGAACCCAGTTCTCTGCTCGCCTAAACCAGTTCTTCCCACACACAGGATGTCCCACACCCCCAGCCGTCCCCCACGGGGGCCCGCAGGTGCCACTAACTACGGCTTGGCTGGGATTCAGAAACTTTGCACTGAAAAGCCTCATTTTGTCTTACAAGGTGCTTTTTCTTCAGGGGATGACTGGTTAATGGTTTCTTTTGGCCTCATATTCAGACACCGCAAGGTTGTAATAATTTAAAATCTGAGGGGGGCCAGGGCGGCTCAGTCGGTTGGGCATCCAACTTCGGCTCAGGTCATGATCTCATGGTCCGTGAGTTCGAGCCCCGTGTTGGGCTCTGTGCTGACAGCTCAGAGCCTGGAGCCTGTTTCAGATTCTGTGTCTCCCTCTCTCTCTGCCCCTGCCTGCTCACACTCTGTCTCTGTCTCTCAAGAAGTGAATAAACATTAAAAATCAATCCATCAAAATAAAATCTGAGAACAAAAATGTAAGTTTTCCATTTAAAGACAGAAACTGTGTGAGCGCGGACTTTAAACAAGACTTCAGAGCACAACCTTACACTTGCATCCAATCTAGACCGATCCAGGGGAGAGAAAGACGATGATCACTCCATGGGCCTGGTTTACACTGAGCTACTGGTAGAGCTGATGTTATACTTTGGTCATTTACAATTCTGTGCATTTGACGGAAACTGGAAATCTATTTGACTTTCATTACATAAGTAATGCGTGCCCAAGGCAGAATAGCAGACCACATAACTGAGTGAGTTAAGGAAGTTAAAATCACTTATTAAATACATTAAATTTTTTCCCCTTCTTCCATGATGTTTATATTTCAAATTAAGGCTGAATTTCTAATTAGTGACAAATTGGATGCTGTCATATTTACCTGATGTGTGGCTATGGTGCAGTTTCTCTAACTCTGATGGGCAAGCAAGGGGGAGGTCCGGTGAGTTGTACCTTCACTCACGTGGGGTCTGATCGCTGCTCTAAATGGCTGTACAGCCCCCAGGAAGTCACTCAGCTTCTCTGGGCCTCAGCTCCCCCTCATAAAAGTGGGATTAAATACCTACTTTATAGCATGTGCGCGAGAATGGAGTGAGTCAAAATGTGTGTGTGGGGTTTTTCACAGAAGCAGACACTGAAGAATATTAATTTACCTTCCCTTCAGGAGGGGTGAAACTTGGAGCTGTACTTTCTTTTATTCAGTTAATATTTCCAGTGCTGTGTTCCGAAGGTGTTTGCTTTGGAGTTTGTCCTTCATTTTCAGTAGTGCTTTTAAAAGAAATGTGATGAACACATTCTTTTGAGAAGCGAAGGACCCTTCTGTATCATGGACAACAACCCTCCAATGGGTTACATTACTAAAATGGAATGTCTGATTCTCGAGTCAATTGAACATAGTTAAGATCCATTAACAATTAAAACAACGCACTCAAGTGGCCATTAAGCATTTCCACAGCAAGGTGTGAAAACTTCTGGTCAGTTGGTAAACGCCAACCACATGAAGTTGTCTTCCATGAGCCTGAATGACAGAAAGAGCTATGTGACCATGAGAAGGGAGCGCCCTCGGTTCTGCAGACCCTTCAGAGCATTTACTGGTATCGGTGCAATGGTAAGAGAGAGAAGCGATTTTATACCTGATAAATGTTTTCTTCCGTTTCGGGATCACGGATTGGCTCGTGTCCAGCCTCAAACACAATGTACTATTACGGAGCGGCCAGAGAGGAAAGGTCAGAGGGGAAGGAGAGAGAGGAAAAAAAAAGGCATTTGGAATTCAGGATACAAATCTCAGTGAGCATTAAAGAAACAGTCACAACAGAAAATACCCTCAAGAGACAAGTGGATTACGGAAACACTACGGGTGCCTTGCACACCTCTGCCTTTTCTTACAAAAACGGCAAGGGTCTGATGGTCAGTGGTACAGGAGTGATTGCACGGGCCCCTGCACATCTTTGGGGAGATGTAACTTCTTCATTCAATGGCATTTTATCTCAGTAAGGTCTGCAAGTGCTTCATTGCTGAGTGGGAATGACATCTCCTGGGAACATCTGGGATCCCAACTTCATAATCTGGGTGACATCTGCTGCCCCCCTTTGCTTCCCTAAAGCTCCTAACTCAGCTTTGAAGTGCTCAGAAACCCCAAACCTCCGCATCCCATAAATAGCACCTTATTTTACATTCTTAGTTTTAAATACTGAAACTCAATTTCTTTTCCCCTGTGCACGTTTCAGACTTTAAAGGACTGAGCCATTTCAAATAGGGCAATATTCTTCATTCCCTGTGAGCCAGTTGCCCAGGGCAGAGCTCACATTCTCGACAAATCCTCGCCCTCAGCATTCTATAGCCAGGGCATGCCGTTAGGCGTATCTTTGGCTTTTTTTGGTCACATATGCTAGAAACCTCTACTTTGTGTTACTCATATTATATTACTCATTTTATACATATGGTTTTATTTTTGTCATAGCTGTACCAGCTTTCTGTGTGGAAACAGATATGTGTGGCACACACACACATATAACTCATAAGTTTCAGGTTTTCTTTTATGTCCTGCAAGTTCATTTTCTCACTCTTTTCTCTCCTTGGGAGTAAGTATGAGTGGGTTGGGGTTGGTGGTGGGAGGCATCCTCTTCCCTTTTCTCTGCATCTGTTTGTACACAGCACACACTTGGATCCAAGAGAAGCCATCTCTCTAGCCACACCTGGGCTGCGAGCTTGAGAGTCCAGGGATAGTTACTACCTGGGACATCTCTAGGATCTCCCTTACTCTCCTCCCAACAGCCCCTATGGCACGATCCAGACAATCAGAGGGGCCAGAGAGATCTCTCCCCACAGCCTTCCCAAAGCTTACAGACTGCCCTTTGGGCTTGCACTCAAATGTCACCCAAACTCACTCCCCATCCCCAGTTCCTAACTCAGAGAAGCCTCCACGTGAACTTGGAATATACAAGAGACTCCTGAAAACATCCAGTTCTGAGAATCAAACTTTTACAGATAGTGGAGGGGGCTGGGGCAGGGGCAGGAAGGAGGAAACCTATCTCAAGATCCCATGTTATGGATGCCAGCCAAATTTCTGTTCATTTTTTATGGAAATTCACTTCTGGAGAGGCTGGCAGCCTGCACCCTTGGAAATAATCTCGGTCCCTTCTCCAGGTTCTGCCGTCAGGGGATTCTTCAGGGCTCTGACAAAGTGTCTGTAGCACAGGCCTCGCCATTCCTGACCCTAAAACCCCGATGGGTTTCAGAAATTACCTGGTATACAGGATCTTCAACATCCTCTTCCAAAATTGTCTACAGCAGAGCAAGTGAAGGGAGGTTGAAAAGCAGAAGATATAAAGGAAGAGGTGTGAGATTGTGTTCAGAAATCACAGGACAGTACAGAAACCAGCTCTGGGTAGGACAGGCTGCTGGGTCATTTTAGGGAGAAAACACACAGGAAAAAAAAAAAAAAAGGAAAAGAAAACTCTTGCAGCCACCCCCACCCCCACGCCCACTATCAACAACAGCAAAAGCAATTGCATTTCTTCTGTTCTCCTGCCCAGAAATCTTCTTCGGGATTCAAGATTTCACTTTCTCTCACATGTTCAGGATTTCAGAGAATAAAAGATCATCTCTAACGGCTTGTGCTCGGTGCCTGAAATTTACACGGGAACCTTTCATCTTTGTTTATTTCTACTTGGCAGCGGGAGGACAGGACCTGACTGTCAGTTTTCACATCTGTTTATTTGAAGTCCTAGTCTTCCCTGGTACTCGGGTAAATTCACAGGTATACCTGATACACAGCTTGTTCACATTGCTTATCCTTTTGTGCCTTTTTTTCCAACTCTTCTCGTTGCTTCAATTCGTAAATCAGTTGAAAGAGATCTCTCAAGTCCAGAATAACAGGTTCAGCCTGGAGTAGAAGGTGGGATGAAGCGCATTAGTAAGGGAATGGTATAAAGGCAGAAGCAGCCCGGCCCACTTTTGCCTTTGCCTGGTACAACCCGCAGCCCTTCCTTTTCCTATTAAACTGAGAGCATTCCGTCTTTAATTAATTCTACCTTGTTTATATTGGTTTAGCAAATTGCATCTAGGCTAAAGTTCATTTCTTCGACTAATTATATTTGCAAATTCATAATAATCATAAGCATAAAAGGCACTGCTTTTATTTATTAGTAATTCTAAATACAATAAAATTAGGGTAGGCCTTATGCAAAACAGCTATTTGTTTTCTCTTATTTTCTTTTTAAATGAGGCTATGAACACAAGGAAACTTATTTGTGTAGTGTGCCTCCATCCAGCTTAATCAGAAAGGAAAATAATTAGTCATTACGAAATACCCATTAGGGAGAAACACGACCGGATGGGCTGGAGCAAGCTTCCTTGCTCCGAGGCTATCTGAGCATCAGCATCGCTCCGTCTTACATCAGAGGCGGCCTTCAAACACCAACAGCGTGACTGCACGCGCTGTCCCCTAAAGCTACCAGGAAAGGCGCCCTCCTTGGATGGGGATACTCACCGCCTGGGCTGTTTTTATGGCGACAAATCTGTGATTCCCTTCCTTCCCACAAACGTATCCAAAGGCCCGGTGGTCTGTGATGTCCTTTGCAATGTAGGAAATTTCATGAACAGCATGATGATGCTGAAGGGCCTATCAGAGACAAAAGGAAGAACATATTTCATGGGACTTTCCCTTCGAGCTGTTGATCAATAAGAGATGCGTTTCAGCTACGTGTGAACAGGCCCGAAGGGCTTTGGAAAAGCTGTTGGGTCCAGATGGAAGGAAAAAAGAGCTGCGCCTGCCCTTGAGGGGTGGAGGCTTTCCTCCATGGTCTTAGTGCTGTGACCAGGCAGACAAACAGGGCTGCTCATATGCTGAATGAGCGTCCGTGGCCGTGGCTTCCATTAAGCTTGCCAGGGCCAGTCAGTCTAGTTCAAGGTGCAGGCTTCTGCGACAGCTCTCTTTGTGACACAGCCCCACTGAAGTTCCGGCTTGATATTTAATACATTTCCGTCCCCAGGGCCTCTGCTTGCCGTGGTGGAAAAGTACAGGGAGTACCGTTCGGTGTCACAGAACTATGCACTTGTATGGTTACAACCCTTTTTTGACCGATGGTGACACAGTGTCTCAGGGAACAAACACCTTCTTCTGTCTTGTCCAGAGTCACCATCTGGGCTAGAGGTAGATGCCGTCAGTTCTCGAGCTCTTCCTGGGCTGGTCCCTCTGTTTGCCACGTCCATTCTTCTACCCATTTGCCTGAATCCTCCCATTCCCTTTCAAAAGGACATTTGAGGGGCGCCTGGATGGCTCCGTTGGTTAAGTGTCCAACTCTTGGTTTTGGCTCAGGTCATGAGGTCACGGTTTTGTGGGTTCGAGCCCCCGGTTGGGATCTATGCTGCCAGCTTGGGATTTCCTCTCTCTCTCTCTCTCTCTCTCTCTCTCTTGCTTTCGCTCGCAATCTGCCCCTCCCCCACTCGCACTATGTCTGTCTCTCTCAAAATAAATAAATAAACAAACGTAAAAAAAAAAAAAAGACATTTGAATAGCACCACCTCTGTGAAATCTTCCCTGAATGAGGCTTGCTTTTCCTCCTCTGCAGAAATAATTCCATAGAACTTCGGTCTCTACTGACACGGCAATTCCTAATGGAGTCCTCACACACAGCTCCCTGGGTTCTTGCTTTCCAGACCTTCCTACTCTGATATATTTACCTGGCTCCTTGTCTGTCTTCACAGGATCCATCTTCCTTAACTCTGTCTTCCTAGAACCTTGTGCTATGTTTGACCCATAGTTCCTGAACTCAAGTAAATCAGGATAGTTGATCAGTAATTTGGTAATCTTTTGAAGCTGATCTTCCCACCTTTATTATCTAAGCTTCAACAAAGAATGCTTGCCATCCTATTGGTGATGGCCATCTGTAGGACCATTTTCCTATATTAAACCTACACAAAGCAACACTTAGTACTCTGTGTAAAGGCTTGCGCAGGTAGCTGGGCATTATATGATGTGCTTAAAGTCCTTATAAGGGGCCTTTTCATTAAATTACATATTAAGAGCCTTGTATTCTGGCCACTTTGTGAGCACAATGCACTCCCTGCACCTCTCTGGACCTTTGTTTCTTCTTCTATCCAATGAGAAGTTTGTACCAGATCAATGGCTCCTAACTCAAAGCCCTGGGTCTACTTGCATCATTAAAGGTAATAAAAAGAAGTCCTAAGCAGTTTTCAACATTTCAAAAAGCTAAGCAGAAATTTGTAACTACTCTTAATTAAGACTACACATGTGCATGCAAATGAAAATGCCAAGTTCTTTTCGAAATGTATCAGGTTTATGTTGTACTCCTTAGAATCATCTCTGAGGAGATTCTCTTTGGCATTTACTTATGGGTTTGAATAATTCAAGTAGGAAAGTGAATGATTATAAATACCCTTTTTTTTTGGTTGGACAAAATCTTCCCTGTTACCGAGTCCACGGAAGGAGGGAGACATGTAACACAAAGGGAACTTAATCATGAACATGGTAGGAATCACTGGAGTAGATGTTCTGGAAGGTCTGGTCCTATCACCCAAGATCCTTTAGCCATTAGGACCTTGAACCACACGGCCAGTCTCTTAGGTCAGTGGACATCTAGTCTCATGATGGTCATCACCTTAGTTCCTGGACTACTGGCCCTGGCCTTCCAAAACACCCATTCCCACACTGCTACGATCTTTCTAGGTTTCTGACCTCATGAATCATTTCTGCAGTAGAATTTGCTGTTGCACCTTGACCTTCTAGACTCTGATCACTCATTAACCTCTCTGACTGCTCTTGTGACTCTCCCTTCTGGTCGTGACTTGCCCAGGTTTTCCACTGACCGCTGCACATCATGCTTGGTGGGTGGTGTCACTGTCTAGTCACCTAACTGGCCACAAGACAACTGTGTAATTCTAGTGAATTCTGACCCAAATAAAGTTGGCGGGGAAGGAAATGTTTGTTAGTGGAAGACCAAGAATCCATTTATTCTTGTTTTATTAAGTGGACATGCTTAGCTAGTGGAGGAAAATTGCTCAAAGAGTGGTAGCTTTTTCATAGTGTTAATGATGTAAAATTGATGAGATTTATATTCACACAACATGGGTGTATTGATTTATAGGCTTTTGTGAACTAGAATGGTATGCAGCAGGGGAAAGTGGAAGACAAAGACATTCTCTTTCTCCCCCTTTCCTCAAAGTATTTCTCTCTCTGCATAACGTGGAGAATGTTATCCACGTTTCCTATTAAATCAAAGTTTGACGACAGTACCTTATTGATTGCCAAGTGGAATATTGCTCTAAAATTAAACTGTGATTAGAAGTCTTCCTGGTGGAATTAGATTTGGAGAAGACTGTGCAAGGGTAAAATATCACCTACTATGCAAGACAGCAGATGGAGTTGCTTTAATTTATCTGGGAATCCTCATTAAGTGTTTTAAAATCAAAACATTTTTAACGCCTGATGATACCTAATATTGCCTCGCGAAGTATAGCTCTGTGCGTGCCTGAAGTGCCTAAAGATGTCTGTAACATGATCTTTTCCCACAGTTAATTTTATGTTATGTTAAATAGGATTGCTGTGAAAGTGGCTCATTTATTTGGAAACTAAGCATCATTGAGGGGATATGTCTCCACTTTCTCCAACCTCAACTGTGCAGATACAGCACAGATAACTTGGAGATACAAACACATCAGAATCCTGATAATCCCTATGGTCATATTACTGCATTCATCGTGGCAACTGCAAGAATCTTGCAAATACTTGTTCACTGAGGCTCAAAACTGCTCCATGTCTTCTAGATTTTATGAGCACAGCCAAAGCCAAAGGAACCTTGAACATCCTATTGTTTGGCTGCATTTATGAAAGGACTCAGGGTCACAGAGAGTTCTGGAGGGACCAGTCCTGAATGCAGCCCTCATTCTCCCTATGAAGGATAATGGAGCATTGACAAGAGGAAGCAAGATCATGTAGAATCGAGGTCTCCACTCCTTAGACTCCTGCCTCCCCAGTCCAACAACAAAACCATGATCCCTGAAAAGCCTGGATGAGGAAGGGGAGAGTTGGCCAAGGAGGCAGAGTTGAAGCTGTTCCAGATTCTTGCAGGTATCTGAGGTCAGAGAGGGTCATAAATCAGAAGGTTTGGAAGAGAGGCTGGTTTGCTATAAGGATCTCAAAGAAAAAGGTCAAGACAGCATGTTCTGGAAGCAAGCTCTCATGAGCTTGTGACTATCTGTGATGTTCACTGAGCAGTCAGGCTGGAAAGATGTGGTGACACCCTTGGCCATGGGAAATAAAGATTGTTTCATCCCAGGAGGGTTTCTGTGGGGAGGTCCTGGGCATCACAAGTTGTTCTGGAGGGCATAGGGAACACTGGGCCAGAGGACGAGGGAGCGGGGAGGAAAGGGAGAGTCTGGTCTTCCTTCTTCCACATTTCCTTAGGGAAACAGTTTGTCGTAGGAAAACTTAGTCTAGATATTGAGGTACCGCCCCAAATCTAAGCAGGTATTTGCTTTTAAAAGTAGTCTTCAACGACACCCTGTTTCTCTGCTACCACTTTATTCTTCTCCCATTCAGAACCCTCCCTGTTGTATTACGGATGAAAGTTGTTACTGAAGAATTCTAAGGATAGACCAGAGATTAAACTTCTCAGTCTGGTCTGATCTTCCTCCCATCACTGAACTTCAGGGGAGCCAGGCTACAGATAGTCTGAAGAGCCCATCCCTGCCGCCTTCGGTTCTGTACTTCTGGGCCTGTGTGCCACTGTTCACATTTTCCCTGTCGATCACCCTCTTCATCCCCATCACCAATCCTTCAGTGACTCCATGTAACTAAATCATACATATGCTCCCAGGCTAGTTCCAACAGCGTGCTCATCCAGGGAACCTTCCCTGACCCCTCCATTTCCCTCCATTTCCCAGTGGTAATTCCTGTCCCTAGACCTCAGTGCCTTGTATTTGTTCTCCTATCTAGGATGCTTCATTTTGTTTCACATTTACCCATTCATCCACTTCTTCATACCATGTGTATTTACTGAGTACCTGTTATGTTCCAGGTCTCATGCTTAGTCCTACATCCATCTAGATTCTTAAAACATAGTCCCTTCCCTGAGGACCTTGCAATCTCATAAAAACACGCAGGATAAGAAACCAATGACCACGATATAATAAGATGAGCTTATATTAAAGGTGTGCATAGGGTGTTACATTGGCTCAGAGCAGGGATGGGGAAGGGCGTCAGGAAGACTTGACAAAGCAGCTGGCCTTGAACTGAATCTCAAAGGCTAAGGGCAAGTCCCCAGAAAATCATGGGAAAGGGCAGTCTAGGCAGAAAGAACCGAACATTCACAGGAAAAAATACCCACCAGGACTCAGGGGAGTCAACAAACAAAGCAAAACAAAACAAAACCTCTGTGCACCTGTTTTCTTTCTACTTTGGGGTTGTTAGCTTGTTGAGAGAAAGATCCGTGTCTAATTCTTCTCAGCCTCCTCCCAGCTCCTAATACTGTTCCTTTTGAACAGTAAGTGCTAAATAACGTTTGATGAGCTACAGAAGGAAGGAAGGAAGAGCCACGCCATCTGAAGACACGCACTGCATGAGGTAGTTGCTCAATAAATGCTCGATGAATGACTGAATCA